TTAAATAAAGAATTAATTCCACTTCATACACGAAATCACTATATTCGTCCAATAATTCAACCAAAATATATTAATTCTAAATTAGTACTTTTTATTCAAATGCAATTATGTGATACAACATTACATGATTGGTTACGTCATCGTGATCATATAATTATTGAAGAAACATCTGATGAAAAGAAGATTATGTTTTACACATTAAATGATTTAGGTCAACAACAATGTTGGCATATTTTTAAACAAATTTTAGCTGCCGTTCAAGTAAAAATTTTAAAAAGAATTTATTTTATTTTTTTTGTTCTTTTATTATTTATTGTAGTATCTTCATTCACAATCATTTGTTCATCGTGATATAAAACCACGAAATATTTTTCTTTCATGCGATTCAAAAGATAGTTCATCTATTCATGTTAAATTAGGTGATTTTGGTTTAGCTACTTTACTTGATTCCGAATCTACGTCTGATTCATTTGAACAATTTAAATGTGATGATTCATCTGGTGTTGGTACAGCTTTATATGCACCACCTGAACAACTTAATTCAAATCAATGTATTGCAACAACTAAATCAGATTCATATAGTTTAGGAATTGTTCTTTTTGAATTATTTAATATATTTCTAACTGAAATGGAACGATATCATTGTTTAAATGATTTACGTATAAATATGAAAGTTGAAGAGCAATTTTCAAAATATTATCCACATGAAACAAATATTATTGAACAATTAATATCAATTGAAAGTGATAAACGACCAACTGTTGAACAAATATTAACAATATATAGAAAAGAAATTCAGCAAAAAATGAAAAAACCAAATAATACAAAACAAATGGTTATTGATGAGTTGAAAGAAGAATTATGTGATAAAAATAAAAGAATTCAACAATTAGAACTTGAATTAGAAAAAAATAAATCATAGTTTTTATTTTATTAGATAAATTAGGTCAATTTTTTTGACACTAAACGAGAACAAAAATATAAAATTTGATAAAGAAAAAAAAAAGATTAATTATACACTGTGTGTTTTTTTCGCACGTTTATTTTCATAAAATAATTTGAAAATCAAAACAATGTATTGTTATCTATCACGTGGACATTTATAGTTTATTTTAAAAAAAAACGAAAGAATAAAATTTCTAATTTCCATTTCAACTACAGATGAACATAGAATAGGATGTGCAGCTGTTCTGATGTTTTGTACTTCTGCTCAACAGGATAAAATAAGAACAAGACGCACTAACTCGTTCTGTGGTCTTATCTGTCTACTTTCCCTTGCATCAAGTGAAATGGCATAAAAATAAAATACATGAACTGTTGACTAAAAGTTCAAGACTAGTCTATTCAATTGAATTAGAAAAGATCTCTTTGACATTTGGAAAATGAAAATTATGATTGCAAACAGAATGTAAATACGGAATGGTCCATAAAAATAAGATAACACAGTTTTTTCTCGCTTTATTTATGACACATTTTCAGTTAAGTTTCATATTTCTACCACATATACTAGGTTATACAACTCAAAGTTTCACCATAAGTGTAATCGTTTTTTTCAAAAATGTATCAATACACGATAACTAAAAAAAGTGACATGTTTTGGTAGTTATAGTTTTTCCTTCTGTAATATATGTACATCTATATTATTCTATCTTCTCAGCTAATATTTATAAATGTGCTAGTGATGGCATCTCGCAGATAACAACACAAGTGATCATCTCTGCTATCAATGGATTCAGTTCTTTTTCTCGTTGCATTTCTCATTCTGTGTACACAATTCTAACAGTGTGTGTTTCCGACTTTTGAACAATGAGTCAACGTTTTCCGATTGTCTTTATGTGAAAGAATTGAAATTGTGAAGTGATATGCCACAAAACCTCAAAATGTTCAAGCACTCAAAGATGCTATTATTACAGAATACAAAACCTGCTAACAGAATTATATCGAAGAGCTTGTCAATCTGTATTTGAGAGACTAAAACTTTGCAAAGACTTAGAGGGCAAGCACATTAAGCAATTGTTGTGAAAAATTTCTTACTGACAATACTTCACAAAGGTCTACTGTTGTGTGTATCGTTTTCTTGCTCTATTGCTTTGATAAAAGTTTTGTTAGAACATAGACATGTCACTTTTTTGGTTATCGTGTATTGATGCATTTTTGAAAAAACCGATTACACTTAGACATTGGTCTAGTGGTGATTCTTTGAGTTGCATGACCTAGTATATGCGGTAGAAATATAAGACCGAACTGGAAATGTATTAGAAACAAACCGAGCAAAAAACTGTGTTATCTTACTTATGAGCCACCCTGTATTTCATTGAAGAGCATTTTATATTCATTGACTGATAGTAATTATTACAGCAATTTTTTAAAATCTTTTCCAAAATGCTTCCAATTGTTGAATTGCTTTGTCAAGAAAGAATCTTTATCTTACACCATTTTTCTGATTAAAGACTTACGATGAAGTACTTATTCATTGTTGAACGTTAAATCAAGAGTCAATACTAACAGACTAGTATGAACATATCCTTGAGCAAATAAAGTACTGAGATTCAAGTATAATCCTGTAATAGGCTTTTTGTAATGAACGTTGAGAATGAGTCTAATAGACTTTTTAATGATATAATAATATTTATTTAGTACTATAAATGAGATTATGTTAAATGGATCCATTTGATTTATAAAAGTGTTAATAAACAGCAATAGAGGAAAGATTGAAGTGAAAATTAATCAATGTATCGTAATAAAAGGTATCTTCTCAGACTGAAAGCTAATTGGCTTTTTATATTTTTTAGTTTCCCATTTTGTTAAAAGCAAAGTATAGAATCTTCTGTTCTAAAAATAATCAACAGAAAAAAAGATACAATTAATAGGGAAGAATAGCGCTGACATAACATAATTTTCGTTCAATGTATTAAAAATAATAAAATACAATCATTTTCTTCAAAGCCTAAAAGAAGAAGTACTAGAAATGTTTCTAAATTAGTTGATCTTTATTTGAATTAACGTTTTTTTTCTGTATGTGTTTGATTGTAATACTTGATTTGTACTTGAATGTAATAAAGATTTAATAAAATAAAATTACTAATAAGTTAAACCATTCTATTCATATTAATAATGAAGTATATATAAGATTATACTATAACTTAATATTTATTAATTAATTGATTATCTTATCTGAGTGCACAGAACCACTTCCTTTTTACTACATATCTAAAATCTCTGAACATTTTCTGCCAGTGTTAGTACAGAACAATGGTCTCGGAAAGTTGATGGTTTATCGATATCAAAAAATGAAAAAAGACAGAGAATATTGCTAGATTCCTGAAGCAATTATAAGATATATATGCATTGTTGGCAATTTAGTAATCGATCATTCAAAAATTAGTCGACAGCTGAATGTGTCAAATGTAAACATATCGAACTGAAGAGATGAGCAGATACTAATGTTTTCTTTCGATCTTTTTATCTTCAACTTTAGTTGAGAGAATATAGTAACTGTGCACTTGAATCGATACTCGGATATTTTTCATTAGAGAAATATCAAGTATAATTTTATTGTTGAAAGACTTTACTGTAGTCGTGAGATACAGGCAAGTCTTTTAGAAAGGTGATTTTACTCGCGCAAAATCGGAAGTACGATCAGTCAGATTGATCTCTATTCTAAGTTTGTTGCCTGTCGTATGCGATTAACGTTCGCTATGTTGTTACGAAAAAAAAAACCTGTATATTATTCTTCGAATGACACATATATACGGGCAATTGATTGCTGGTCTAATCTTCATGAAATCTGACCATTGTTCAGACGGAATTTATAGGTATAAAAATCTTGAAATTTTTTTTTTTACACTTTCATACGGTTGGGTACAATCATTGAACTCACATCAAAGTTTGATTTAGAACGTCCAGTTTAGAAATTAAAAAATAAGTCATTTTTAACTTGAATTGAATCTCATTTCTAACTTGATTAATCGATTTTTAAGCACACTGCAGATGATATTTTTGGCCAATATATAAAATACCAAAAGAAAAATGCAGCACTTTCTTGTCTTTTATACAGAAGCAATTTCCAGCAGCAACTGTAACCTTCTGCAGTTAATGAGAGATCAAACAAAATGTATAAAGATTGTCACACGTGGTCAAAAACACGAAACTTTCGCAATAAATTCAAGAATAGACAAATACAACAAAAATAAAAACACAGCCCTCTATAGTAGGTGCATAACTATGGTTGCTGTAGTTACTTTTTTCTTTTCTTTCTCTTTTATGTTCTGATTCAATGTGACGTCATCCAAAGTAAGAAAGATTTATGCTGTTTTCATAGTATGTGCTCATATTGCTGCTTTTACATATTGTGTTTGCGCATGTGCTGTCATATTATGTGAGTGTGCCTGCGTATATGCGTGAGTTGTTATGTACTTACGAAGATTGAGTGTATGCATATCAGAGTTTAAAAATCTTCACATTACTATTCTTGAAGCGGATAAACACATATGTTTTATTTATGACTTTGCTAGCTTTTTATTTGTACAAAAAATATATTAAAAACAATTACATTTGTCGTAGTAGTCAAAGTTAGCAAAGACTAAGTTATAAACGTAATTCTAACAATATCAAACCCATTATCTTTTTTCAAAAACAAATTCGTAAGAGACACAATCATGTGATAAAGTGCGCAACCAGTATGTAACTAGATTAGAAATGTGTGCGTTCTCTTCCTAATTGATATCTATATAAATCATACGTAGGTATCAAATTAATTTACTAATAAACACGTGTTTATTTCTACTTCATATAATAAGAATATTTAAATAATCTACATAATTTACATTTATTCTATTAAGAATTATTGGAAGATCTACAATTCACTCATAAAATAAGCCGTACATATTACCCTTTGAACAAACACAATGAGCAGAAAACGAAGCAAAATTGTGGACGAGAGAGAAGAAAAGAATGAAGATGTCTCCATCTTACACAGCTTCAAAAAACAAAGAGTAGAAATGACCGTTGAAGAGGTAATTATATTGTATCTCTACACGAAGAAGTTTTAATAGTTTTACCTTTTGTACTTTTTTTTTTTTACTTTAGTATGACAAATTTTTGATAGAGAAGAAAAATGGTAGATTCAAGCGGACTGGAACATGGGGTGGAATGTGTAAAAATGTAGCACATGAATGTTGTGACCCTGAATGTGTACGTAAGTGGAAGCCTTCGCCTGTACAATGCTTGGCAGACAATTATTACTGCCCTTCCTGTGTACTTCATCATCGGAATAATGAGACTCGATTCTTGGAAGAAAGACTAAAATGGACAGCGAATGTTCCAAATACATTCTATGTATTTTCTCTTATTGATCCAGGCACGGAAGCAAATGGTAAAACTGAAAGATCTCTGATTAAATTTGGTCGCACTCAGCATGAGAATGCTTTGAAAAGATATCCTACAATAGAACTGAAACAATACCAAATGAAACTCTTGTTGACATTACGCGGAAAATTAATTACAACGACTAGAATTGAAAATTGGTGGAAGGAGCAAGCAGAAGAAAAAAATTGGTTCGTAAGATTTAGTAACAAGGAGTTTCATGGACAAACCGAATGTATTGAAGTTAGTGATAACGATCTGGCACAATTGATTGCTAAATCAAAAGAAATTGCAGCTGCTGATGAAGAAATGCAGAAATAATTGTACTAAATATCTAGAATGTAACCGGTGGACTATACATTGTAGAATAGAAAATAAGTCATATAGAATATAAAAGGATATTCTAGGAATGTCTATACGAATTCGACAATACACTCCTGTTTTTTTGAGTAATACGATATTGACGAAAGTTCGATATTCAAGTTTCGATTGTTTTTTTGTTAGAAAATTGTGATCGTATTTATATGAACATTTCTAGAATAGCAAACTCAATTTTGCATTCTGAACATTTTCCAGAAAATCGAATATTTATTATGACTTTTCATTTTTACAATAAATTATTCTCTTATCTCTGTACCGATTTTATTTACAATCTAGATCAATTATCTATAAAATTGGAATTAATTTTCAAACATCTTTAAAAATTAATGTTAATTTTTTAATCCGTCCGAAAATAATTTTTTTCAAAGAATTGGATTGAAAATTCTAATTCTAGAAAATCAAGCGTTTTCTGAAAATTATGAAATCGTTCGACAATTAATAATTATTTGAAAACATTTGAGCTTTTTGCTAACTCGATTTTCTAGAAAACAGAATTTATTTAAAATTTACAGTGTAAGATGAACGGCTGATTCTTTTTGTATGCCATCATTTCATCATTTAAGGTGTTTTATTAAAAGAATAAAATATACCATAAGATGCACCGAAAAGAAACTCGATAATTTACAAAGAAAAGCTCATTTTATATATGCATTTTTTGTTTTATAAAAAAGACAAAACTTTGTTCGATCAATTTTCGATGCTGTAAATATGATAATTTTTTTGGTACACAACGGATTTCCTTTTGTTATTTCAGCCATTAAATAATTACAGCTTTTAACAGTATCCTATTGTGTATTATTGTCGATGTCCTCGCATAAATAAAAATCCAAAACGTTGAAATCAGAATTATTTGTTCTTCAATAGTGTTTATCTATGAAATGCATGAAATACTCTGTGCACAATTTCAACGCTTCCTGATGTATGTGAAGCATTATATTGTTTTATTCATAGATGAATTTGTTGATCAGAAGTTGTTTACCTTCATATTGGGCATGTCAAAGAAGAACTTCAATATAATTCTCATGCCATCATATTTCACCAAATTCACATATATTTGAATGTGCGAGATCAATATAAGAAGCACCTAATCACATCATAATTCTTGTTGGACTCTTAGTCATATGACTTTGGATGATCTTAAGAAAAAAGATCTTTATTGAGTCTGGTGATATTCTTTATTTCTTTTTCTTTTTTCTTGAAGAAAAGGTAGAGTATTATAGTTTAAGTAAAAAAAGATCAAGATTTTGACTTCCTGAAAACAGCCTTTTTTTTGTTTACAGTAGATTATAAGATCGTGGAAAAGTAAGATTATTTGCTGCAACTATTGTAAATGTCAATGATATTCGTTAGCTAAAAGTATTAATTAACATTTGACATTTCATAAATGATTTAAATAAACAGTCATAGATTAATAAAAATATTATGCTTATTTATCACTTTTTAATTATTTTGTGGGCATTATAGTTAATAGTACGAGAATGTATCATCCATGTGAAAGTTTCAGCGAAAATGCTATCTTAAAAAGTAGCTTGTATTTCTCACTTAAAAGCATCTGTGTGCGCATATTATAAGCTGCTGGGAAATGTTAATGGTTAAAAATTTGAGTGCTTTTAACAGCTTGAAATCTTAGGTGATTCATAAATTGACTAGCAAGATTTGATGTATTTTCACAGTGATCGCGTTTCAGACTGTACCCATTTACTAGCAATTCAAAATATTTTGAAATTAAAACATTCTCAAGACTCTTATTCATTCAAAATTGTCATGATTTGTTGTATGCGATTATATTTTTTTAGTGGCAGGTAAGATGTAGATAAATCGAGACACGAAAAAAAATTTTTTTTTCAATTTTTTATGGCATGGTTGCAAGAGATAACAGAATTCAACAAGAATAACGTAACTCGAGGCGTCTAACTTTTCTAGTTTATTTGATTATGCACTCTTTTTCAGTTCAACTCATGATATTGTTAAGCAAAAGCTATGCACTCTTGTTATATTACACTTTGTTTCTTACTAATTTTTTGATTTGACGTAGGTATAATGCAGAATTAAAGGTCTAATCGTCTAAACCTTTAGGTGTAGGATGTAACTACCGTGAATCAGTGAGCGTTGATTTTCTGTTCATCCACATTCACACCCTTACATCGAATATTTACGTATACTCACACTCCCAAATGATCACTGGCACAGACACCATATCCATTTTCGAGCTAATAAATTTAGTCGTCATCGAAAATTCATCTCTAAATTTTAGCCTAACGTTTTCCATTTTACTACGACTAGTCTTAAATCTTAATGGATGCATTGATGATAGTAAATAAAATTTATCTACTGATTTAGAATTTGAATACTATTTAAAACAAAGATTTTCTAACATTAAATTTTAATCTTACTTTTAAATTACTATCCACTGACTATCAGACATTGCCAATAGCTCATAGCTCTCAGATCATGTTTCAGTTACACAGGTAATAGAAAAATATTTCGTTTAAAACTTATCGGATGTTGATCTCATGCAAATTTCGAAAGAGTTCTTAGGTCTTAATAAAAATAAATCTAAGAACATAAAATCTATTTCAAAATTCAACCTTGTAGTTCATTTTGTTTTCTAATTAACAGTAATAGCCATATTTGAATTGATAGATCTTTTACATATGGATGCCACTTTAACTTGACTTTTTCAAGGTAAACAAACGTTATGTATTAGCTTGTTTTCAAGAATGTAAAATAATGATTTCAAATGAGAAAGTATTGAACTTATCAATTCTTATAAAGAAATCATGTATTTATTAAAGAAAACCAGCGAAAATAAGGCAGAGATATTGTTCAATATCACTTTTTATCGGGTATCATATGAAAAGTTACTGTTTGAGAACTATTCAATCAATTCTAAGTTTGGCCGGTGGTTCATGATCACCATTGCATCGCTAATTCACATTATAAGATTGAATCTTCTAAGATTAGTCATTAGCTTTCACATCGAAATTAGATATTATCTTTTATGATATCAATCTGTTCTGTAGTAATTATTCATTCATTTATGTAAGTCTAAAGAATATTAACAATGGACGATGAATGCTTTGGTTCAATTAGAAAAGACAGGCAAACAGTTTGACGTGAAACTTTCAGCAGTTGTAGAATCTACATAGTTATTAGTCAGTCTTATAAATTTCAGCTTGATCGTTCAAACTTTTCAGTTACTTTAGTACTCAATTCAATTGATTCTCTTGACATTTTCAAGGATGACAGAATTATTCATTCATGAAAATGTATTTCTATGGTTTGATAGCTAGCTAATGAACCGTTCGATAGAGAATTTAATTTTGAACACAAACTCATAGATGACTTAAAATGAAAATCAAAAATTTATTACAAAAAGTTTAGGATATCGTCATTGTGAAATCATATGTATGATATGCCCGAATAATGTGTACGGTCGTTCTTTACTATTTCTTTCTGGACTGAAGTTATATTTTCAGTATCAATAGCAATTATCAAGAGTTGCAAGACTACTATGACAGAGTTTCCAAAAACCCTGTCCTCTGTCTATTATCTAGGATATATCTTTCAAAATAGAAACGATAATATGTAATTTAGTTATTGTTGAGTATTTATTGTTTCTATTATTTTATTTAGGATTAAAGGGATTTGATGGACAAATCTGCTTATCAAATGTTATAGATGGATAGTTTTATACCATCCTAGATCGAGTAGTATTTTATGCGTATCTACATAATTATTGAATGTCCAAATTTAATAATAAAAAATCGAGTTAAATGAAGAAATATTACTAAACAATAGAATAAGATCGATAGTTGTTCTCTTTCAAGAAACAAAATTCATTTCAAGTCATTCGAATGGCTTAACATGACTCTGAATAACTACATCTCTCATAACCTAAAAATTGACTTTTGCGCTTGAAAATATTCGAACTATTATTTTTGAATGTTATCTATTAGGGCACAAAAATGATATTCGAGTTATTTTCTTAACTATTAAGAGTTTTCCATGGTGTTCTCTAACCAGTCAAATTTTTCTATGATTGATTTCCATATTCAAACTTTTTTCTATTGTTTTTCAGTCAATCAAACTTTCTTGTGTTCTTCACTAGATTCCATGTAAATAAGTATTTTTGTAATCGTAAATTAAATTTTATCGATAGTCAAAGGTAATAATACTTCCAATATTAAAAAACGTACAATTAGTACTTTAATTAGCGTATAGAATAGTAATAGTTGGGAACAGTATGTTATAACTTTTACATTCGCTCGGATACATTTCATTATATATATAGTTAAAAATAAATTGAATAAGTGCATAAAAAATAGTCGAATGGTTTGTATATTTTTTTCTTTAGTCGATAATGTAGTAGTTCCAACCTACATATCAGTATTTTCGTCCTCTACGTCAAGGCAGGATAGATACAGTTCACCTGACCTCTCCGACATGAAGAGAAGAAAAATTAGAACGATAGAAAACTGAAGAGATATTTAATAACTCATCTGGTATTCTTAATTGATTGTATCGTTCAACATATTTTACTTCTTCAATATCCTAATAAGTTAAGTTTACAGGAGTATTTCTTTTTCTACATATGTGGAAAATGTTTTATTAGACGAGAGTTGAACAACTATACAAAAACTCAACAAATATTTGTGTTTGATGGTATTGATTCCAATTTTACGTACAGATCATCGTTTCTGATGATAGTCTGGCTAATTTGGTCATTACCATTGTTTCTTATTCGGCATAATATATTCGATGTACACGTAATAACGAATCATATGTATAGCAGAGTATCTACAATTAATATATTAGTACTTTTGTAAGTAGTTTGCAATCATAGATTGTCTATGATCGTAAATTCATTTATTAGTTTTTTATTGTTAATTCATTTCTTAGAAAATATATTAATGAAATTTAAAATATAATTGAAATTG